CGGATCTCACCGGCTCAAGGTTGACTCAGCCTTCCATCCTTCTGAGGTCAGTAAAATGGGGACCCAGATTGTTGGGGGCAATATGCTGACACTGTAAACCACTTAGGGAGGGCTGTAAAACTCTGTGAAGCGGCATATAAGTCTAAGTGCTATTGTTATTGGTACTCCATGGTGTACTGGCTCATGAATTGTTTTTTTCTCAAAGCCAAACGTATCTGGTTCCTTCACTCTTTTCAAATGACTTAGTTTTTAGTCACCTGATCATCTTTGTTATCCTTTTCCAAATCTGCTCCAAAGAATTTGAATCCTATTTAAAGTGTGCCCTCAGAATAAGATATAATGCTCAGGACAGGGTATGTGATGAGTGTAGAATAAAACAAAACAATTGCTCCTCTGATTGAAAATTATACTTCCGTTGGCTGCAGCCTAATTGAATTTGTCTTCTTTGCAGTCATACTCAAATCCTACAATGATATTGATTCAGGAATAATGGTGAAAGCCAGGTCTCAAGTGATTACAAATATACAGTATGATACCATACCAGCCTCTTGTAGGAAAAAGCAGCAACAGAGTTCAGGCCCTCAAGTCCAGCACCTGTTTTTTGTAAGAAGATGGCTGTCCAATTTTTGCCTGACCACATCCATTGTGATATAAGTCTCCTTTCTAGGTGCATGGTGACATCCAGAGGAAAGGCACCAACCATTTGTAAACCGATTCCATTGTTGATCCACTCTTACAGCTAAATGGTTTCTTTTCTAATGTTCAGCTGAAATCTCTTCTTAAAATCTTCCAGTGATGGAGCACCTACAACTTCTTATCCCACTGATTGTTCTCATTGTCAAGTAATTTCTCCTTAGTTCTAGGGTGGATCTCTCATTGATAAGTTTCTATCTGTTACTTCTTGTCCTGCCTTCAGGTGCTTTGGAGAATAAATTGACTCCCTCTTCAACCTAGGAAGGTTATGAACTGTAGCAGTGGTGGGTTTCAATTTTTTTTACTACTGGTTCTGTGGGTGTGGCTTGGTGGGCATGGCATGGCTTGGTGGGCATGGCTTGGTGGGTGTGGCAGGGGAAGGATACTGTAAAATCTCCATTCCCTCCCGAACAGCTGGGATTTGGGAGGCAGAGAATAGATGGGGGTGGGGCCAGTCAGAATTTTTACTACCGGTTCTCCGAACTACTCAAAATTTCCACTACCGGTTCTCCAGAACTGGTCAGAACCTGCTGAAACCCACCTCTGAACTGTAGGCGACCTCTCATCCATGGAACCATATTACTTTACAGTCCTGTAGCCCAAATTTTGAAACAAGACAACCAGTCTCCAAGTCCACAAAAGTACTATTGCTAAAGATATCAGACCTGGTCTGCAAAAATCCAGATAACCACAAGATGCTCTCTGCATCACTCTTCTGCCAAGATTTTTTGCAGAGCACGTCTGTTAGCTCTACTCTCACTGCTTCCTTGGAAATTTAAACAGAACACTTCAGAGTAACAGGCTCCACAGTTGGCTTCTTGGGAGTAATGTTCTCCTCAAGGGGTAATTACATCTTCTAGAGACCTAACAGCTAAGGAAGGAATAGCTGAGATTCAACTGCTCCCTTGTATAAAAGCTTCTTCTAAGAAAAAGTCCAGCTGCTGGAAACAATGCATATGACTGTATATTTAGGTGTATGGAATTTTGAACCTTCTTTCTTTCCTTAATCTTTGGGGCTTTGCTTTTGGCACAACCTTACAATCATGAGCCAGCTCTCTAGGTTCCTGGATCAGACCTTGCCTGTAAATGATGCATAAAAACACTTTTAACAAGCTAGAGAACGTTTATATATTTGAGTGATTTCAGGACAGGTGTTCCCCTGTGCTCTAAGAGCTTCAGGAGAATATCCAAAGGTGATCTGCACACTTCCTGCCATGTGTTCTAAGAGGTTATGAGCTGATCTGCAAGCCTTTGATGTGGTTGGAACGAGTAATGTTGCGCTGACAACAGCAGGTGAAAAAGTTCAGAAACTGCCTCAGGATGTAATGTTGCCATGTTTAGCATGCAGAAAAAGAAATAGATGTAGTTATGAGTGCCGAATAGGACAGGGTTTCTTCAAAGCAGATCTTGTCTTTCATTTTATTTCCCATGAATACTTTATCAGATGGAGATGTGTATTACTGAAGCTGAAGGCAAGTCTGCCTGAACTATTTTGTGGCATGCTCTGTTCTGTCTTCATGCGACTTTCTTGTCAGATCTTGTCAAAATCTCCCTCCCCGGCATTTCACCATGAATTATAGGGGTGTCAAACTTGCGGCCCACGAGCCAGATGTGTCACATACTGGCCAGGCCCACCTCCATTTTAGCGAAGGGGGAAAAAGTTGTGATACGTCACATGATGACAACATGATGACACGAGTTTGACACCCCTGATCAACTACATAAGGAGCCAGTCCAAGATGCAAACATGAGGCTGCTAGAAGTTTTTATAAAGAAGGCATTTAACATATTAATCATTCTTTAACTAGAATGTATTGTTATTTTTAGGGCTCTGCAATACACTACTTTAGGTTTGATTACAAAAAGATGCTCTGAATGGAGAGAGGCAAGAACATAGCATCTGTCTGTAATTCTTTGAAGCAGGCCTATTCTTTTTTTTTTCAGAATGATACAGTTGTCCCATGATCTCAGAAGAAGAAGAAGCTGCTTTAAAGAGTCACTGAGAGATACAAATGAATAGAAACTCAGTGTAAATTATCAGGGTCCAGGATTAATGGATGGATGGATGGATGGATGGATGGATGGATGGATGGATGGATGAAATAAAAATACTTAGTTCTGGTCTTTCAAATTAATGCCATATCTACAGTACAGGTAGTCCTTGATTTATGGCCATAATTGGGACCTGAATTTACATTATACGTTGTTGCGGTCATATGTGAAGTCAAACCTGATTTTACAACAATTTTTATGGCAGTCGTTAATCAAATCACAAGGTTGTTAAGCAAATCCATCTTCCCCATAGGTGTTTTTTTGGGGGGCCAGAAATTGGGAAAAAAGTAGCAAATCACGATAATGTGACCACAGGATGCTGCCACTGGTTGTAAATGCAAACCAGTTGCCAAGGGCTCAAATTGTGGTCATGTGAGCATGAGGGAGATGCAATAGTTAAAAGTGTGATTACAGGTCAGAAGTTACTTTTTCTGGAGCCATCATAACTTTGAACCATCTTTAAACCTAAGCTGAGGACTAACTCAGTTACCTTGTGCTATCCATAAGTTAATTCACTGTGCTTGTTTCCCTGTAGGATCTTTGCAATCTGGAGAGGGTATTGCAACAGGCAGTAGGAATAATCTTGAGGAACAAGAGAAAGAACTGCAACCAAGGCAACAATTAGATAAAAGAAATCTGGGTCCATGGACTCAGTATATGTAATTTGAGCAAGCATCTCAGACATGTCCACCCCTAGTTTTTAGGAAGATAAAGAGAGGGAGGGAAAAGTACATTCAGATATGCAAGATTTTGTTACTGTAACCCAGGGGTGAAATGCTCCCGTTCGGACCGGATCGCCTGATCTGGTAGCGATGGAGACGGGTGGTTCAGAGAACTGGTAGCAAAAATCCCTGCCCCCCCCCCACCATGCCCAGCTGAGCTGCACAATCATTAGAGGCTTTTTTTTACTTTTAAAAGCATTTTTTCTACAACCTTTTCAGCTGAAAAAATGCTTTTAAAAGTAAAAAAAAGAGCCTCTGATGATCGCCCGGCTCAGCTGGGATCGTCAAAGGCTTTTAAAAGCATTTTTTCTCCAACCTCTTCAGAGGTTGGAGAAAAAATGCTTTCAAAAGGCTCTGACAATCCCAGCTGAGTTGCCTGATCAGCAGATACTTTTTTTCTGTTAAATGCCTCTGCCGATCAGGCAACTCAGCTTGGATCGTCAGAGGCATTTAAAAGAAAAAAAGCCTCTGCTGATCAGGCAACTCAGCTGGGATCGTCAGAGCCTTTTGAAAGCATTTTTTTACCTCTTTGCTGAAGAGGTTGTAGAAAAAATGGTTTTAAAAGTAAAAAAAAAAAATAATGGCCATGCCCACCCAGTCACATTACCCCCCTCCCCCACCAAGCCACGCCCACAGAATTGGTAGTAACCAATTTTAGATTTCACCACTGCTGTAACCTTATAATAAACTAGCATTAGCATTTATAATTCTGGCATTCTAGTCTGGTCAACTCTGAAAGGCTGAGACTAAGAATGGGCTTTGAACTGTTCCCTCCTCTCAGCTGGTAGCAAAAGCAAAAGAGGTTTTTGGTGTCAGTTGTACTTTTCTGTGTGTTGACCTAGGAAATCTGGCAAAGCGATCTATTGCATATGCCCAGGCAGCAAACCCCATACTCCCTGGCATACTCATAAGCAGTGGTGAAATCCTCCATGGGTTGCCACTGATACGCTACCCATGCATGTGTGGTGCGCATCAAATACACGCTGCATGCATGCATGCGTGCTGTGCACCAAATGCACCCTGTGCATGCATGCACAGTATGCACCAAACGCGTGCTGTTCACGCATGTGCGGTGCGTGCCAAATGCATGCCGCCCATGTGCATGCACAGTGCGCACCAAACATGCGCTTTGTGTGGAAAAAGGAGCCTTTTGAAGGTAAGTAGAAGAGCAAGGGGAGGGAACAGCTGTGCCGTGTGATTTAGAGTCGCTAGAAAGCCGGATTTCCTGCTTTCTAGCGAATACAAATTGTGCGGCACAGCTGATCGTCGGAAATGATCTCATCCGAACCGGTAGCTTTTTTTTTTTTGAGAGCCTTTGAGAGCTGTATGCAACAAAATTTCATTTTAATGTATGCTGATTAGTGTACATTCAAAGTGACAATAAAGTTGTTCTCAGTTCTCCTTGATAGTTCCTTAATTAGGGTATTGTTTTCTGCCTGATCATTTATCTGGTGTTGATTCCTGCTTATCTGAGTGTGGGCTGCTATGGTCTAGTTATTTTGTTTCTTTCCTGGATTTTTAATTCCATTCAAGGAACAATAGAGGAAGGCCAAAGAAAACCTGGTGCCAAACATTTGAGGAAGACCTGAAAAAGCATCAATCTTAAATGGAAGAGTACAGAGACTGCAACTGTGGATCAAGAACTATGCAATACTCTTGTAGCCCAATGTGCTTAGCACATGATGTGAATAACGTAAGAAATATAACAAAGAATTATTTCATGAATTGTACTTTAAATATTCTTTTCTATAACAAAATGGAACCCAAGGGTGTCTGAAAGATTCTCAGTCATCCAGCTCAAGGTTATCCAGAAAGGGCTTTTTAAAAAGGCAACTGAATTTGAAAAAACTTCTTGGATTTATTTTTTTATTTTTTTATTTTTTTATTTTTTTATTTTTATTTTATTTTGAATTTGTATACCGCCCTTCTCCCTGAGGACTCAGGGCGGTGAACAGCCAAGTAAAAACATCAAGTACAAATATTAAAATACAGTTAAAATATATATATATATAAATTTGGCCCCATTAATTAAAAACAATAAACAAAACACTTAAAAACACTTAAAAAATTAGGCCAGCCCGGCTTGCTGGAAAAGGAAGGTTTTAAGGGATGAGAAGCGAAACATCTTCAAGGAAAAAACAAGGTCCAGTTGCCTTTTGAAAAAGCATCTTTGGGAATTCAAGTGTGTTTAGTATTGGAGCAGCAGAGGCCAACTACTCTAATAGTAATGGTTAGGGTTTTGAAAGAGTAGCTGTAAAGAACCACAAGTATGCCAGCCACATGCCCACCTTACATGTTGCACTAATTCACCTCTGGTCATTAGCTTAGAATTCAGTAGTAATGAGTGCACCTCCTTAGCAGCAACCTTTGTATATATAATATGTGATGCTTGACCAGTGATAACTACAATGATTTACATTTGTGCCTCTGATTTAATGTGTGATATGAAGCCTGGTCATTTGGTTACTTTATGAGTCAAAGTGACCTGCAGATCTCCCAAGTGCATGGAGTACGGAGCTTCAGTGTGCCATGCGAAGCTGGAAAATTGATAAAATCTGTTTGTGAACACAACCAGTGACGCATAACTTAATGTGGGTTGAGTTAGCAAAACACATCAAGCTGAAATGTAATGAGCCGATGTGCCATTCTGTGTGGGTTGTTTTTTTTTTTTTTTGTAAAAAAATCAGACTTGGCAAACAGTGTTTTTATTATAAAACTTTCCTTGAATGCATCAAGAATATATAAGCAGTTGTAAAACAGGGAAAGGTTGGAGGGAACCAGGGAAGGAAAATGTTATTTGCATGCTTTGCAAGTGAAATAAAACCATGGCCACTTGAGATTGTTTTTTTTTTCTCAACTCCCGTCTCTGTTGAGATTATTTTGTCCAGGATTAAAAATAAAGGTTTTCCTTGTCCAGATGTTTCCAATTCTAGGGGGTGATGCTCATCTCCATTTCCTAGACAAGGGTGTTGTGGTCCGCCAGCAGCCTGCAGAGCTGGCAGTGGAGTCGGACAGCGATGAGGCTGAGGAAGAACATGGGCCAGTGCTGGAGGCTGGGGAAGGCCTGGATGAAGGCTCTGCGTCAGAGGCAGAGATGGGGCCAGGGCCATCGGGGAGTGAGGTGCGGACTCCAGAGCCTCCAGAGACTGATAGGAGTGAGGCAGAAGAACAGGAGGAGCCTGTTCCTAATGCACACATGAGGCAAGAGCAACTCAAGCAAAGAGGACAACTCGGGAGTAGGGCCAAGAGATGATTGGCCCCTCCCATAAAGCTTAAAATAGATCAGCAACTGTGTTTGGGCTTTGCCGGAAAACAACGTTGGTAACTTCGTCTTCTTCTTCATCTATGTCTTGTATTTATTTTTGTATCTGTGACTTCTAATCGTTTGCCAAGAAAGGCCTTTGGCAGTTTGCCTAATTGGACCAAGATTTGCGATAAGACTGAAGAATTTGTGTTGGGAGGAATTTGTTTTAATTTAGTTGAACGACGCTGGGAATGAAGTAATTCTCAGCTGTTCGAATAAAGTTTATTTGTTTTTTCATGGACTGATTTTTCCTACTACTTACTTGGGCCTGGGTCACAACAAAGGGAGTCAGAGATGCTTCCATGGCATGTGGCCAGCATGACTATCCTCCAAGGCGCAGGATCACTGTTACCTTCCCACTGAAATAATACCTATTTATCTACTTGCATTTGCATACTTTCAAACTGCTAGGCAGGCAGGAACTGAGGCAAGTAATGGGAGCTCACCCCGTAATGCAGTTCTTGGGTCTCAAACTGCCGACCTTCCAGTCGACAAGCCCAGCATCTTGCAGGAAAAACCCTGAACTAGGTTGCTATGACATCACTGAGGAAACAGCTAGGCCTGATCCGGCTTCTAATAATTGGGTTTGTAGGAAAGAGAATTGTTTTCAGACTTAAGGGGAAAGCTCAGGCAGTCTCTGAGCTGGGTTACTAATCTAACCAAGGAAGAGCTCTTTTGCACTTAGACAAGGATCTGCTGTGTGACACTTTACTTTGTAACTGAGAACTCACGTGTGGTGTTTTAATTCAGTAATGCTGCTCATGTGTGACTATAAAGGTGATGCTGGGAATAGAGCTAGAGGCTAAATAGAAAGTACTGGGACAAAAGAGGAGGAAAGAAAAGAGGCAGAATGGCATATGGGTTAATAAGCACTGTTTTCCTCTCATTGGTGATTAACTGTGGTGCTAAGAGTGAAATCCCCAGTGAGATGTGAAGCCGGGGGTAGTATTCACTTACTTCCCCTACCGGTTCGCAAATGTGAGCACACGCACCCCATCCACGCATGCACCCGGCCTTCCATCAGTGGTGAAATCCAGATTTTTTTACTACCAGTTCTGTGGGCATGGCTTGGTGGGTGTGCCTGGTGGCCATGGCAAGGGAAGGATACTGTAAAATCTCCATTTCCACCCCACTTCCCTTCAGGCAACCCTCCTCCTCCTCCTCCTCTTGCAACTCCCTGGCTGGCTGTGGCAGGGCCTGGAGTGTGCACACAGCGGGGAGACCCTCTTCAAGCAAGCCAGCAGGCTCAGTCAGAATGCAGCAAAGGCACGCACAGGGCCAGGCCCCTTTTCCCACTGCCCTGAGCTTCTTAAAGCCACGGCTGGGTGCTGCGGGCACATCTCCTTTTCCGTCATCCTCCTTCTGGATCCCATTCCCACCCTGCCAGCCCTTGTGTTAGCACGGCCAACGTCAGTCGCGGCTGGGTCGGGCCAATGTCTCAGGGTGGAGAGCAGGTTGCGTGTCTCCCAAGCAACCAAGGCACACCCAGCACCAATAAGAGCCGGAAGAAGCTCCAGCAAGAGTGAGGCGCTGGAGAATCAGCCCCGGCTGCATCTCTATCCCCTGCTGTTGCCCTTACCTTCTCAGGCCAGGTGAGGAATAACTGGAAGGAGAGGGCGAGGGGCGGGCCAGCCAGTGATGGGACAGGGAGCTGCATGTGGCTCTAGAGCCGCAGGTTTTATTTATTTATTTATTGGTTTGATTTATATGCCGCCCTTCTCTGGAGACTCAGGGCGGTTTACAATGCGTTAAGCAATAGCCTTCATACTTTTGTATATATCTGCTTAGTAGGGCTTTTGTCCCCCCCCCCAAGCGGGTGTTCTTTTTATACAAAGTCAGCTTATTGCCCCCACAATCCAGGTCCTCATTTTACCTACCTCGGAAGGATGGAAGGCTGAGTCAACCTTGAGCCTGGTGAGATTTGAACTTACATTAATTGCAGGCAGCTGGTGCTATTACAGCACTTTAGCCTGCTGGGCCACCAAGGCTCTTGTTGCCGACACCCCGTCTATGGAAATTCTCAGTCATCCAAGATTATGGTCGTCCCAAAGGTGCTTTTTTCAAACTGAGGAAGCTTCTTGGATGAGGAAGTGAAATGTCTTCAAAGAAAAAGAAGAAAGTCTAGTTGCCTCTTGAAAAAAAGCACCTTTGGGACTCTTCTGCATATATTAAGAGCCAGACAGACTGGTAAAGGGGGAAGCAGCCAATTAGGTAATCAAATCCACTGTAATGCTTGATTCCAGTATCTTATATTGTGCCAGTAAGCATTGTGTTACGATGCCCTATCCAGAACTAGGATAGGGCAGTAGAAAAATGAAAGTACCAGGACTGCTTGACTTACAATCACAACTGGGACTAGAATTTCCATTGTTAAGCAGGACAATTATTAAGTGAGCCATTCCTGATTTTCGCTGCAAGGGTTAAGGGAATCACAGAGTCATTAGATAAATCCAGCTTCCCCAATTGAAATTTGCTTGTTGGAAGCTGGTTGGGAAAGTCCCAAATGGCAATCACGTGACCTCAGGGTCATGCAACTGTTATAAATACAAGCCAGTTGCCAAACACTCAGTTTTTGATCATTGTGGGAAGCCACACACACACACACACACACACACACACACACACACACACACACACACACACGTTCTAGAAGAATGAAATATTTTGAGGAATATCTTAAAAAGGTAGGATAAAATATCTCCCCTAAAAGAGAAATAAAAAATCTTAAGGGAGATAGAAACCCAGAGCCCCAGCTCCCTGCCCCCAAGCAGATACTGAGCTGGGGCAGCTTTAGAAATGCAGACTTGGTAATCTATTACTCCCTGCAGACTGCAGTCTAAAAAAAAGGTAGATTAGCCCTCACCCAAGAGCCAAAAGCCACTTTAGGAATTATTACATCACCTTCAGAAACTTCAACCAAACAAGATTTTTACCTTGCCTATAAAGCCAGCTATGACCCCTACATAACCCCTACATGGCACCATGGGAATCTGAGAACAGCCAATAGGGCACATGTTCTTGCACAGGAACAAGAAGCTCAAGGGCAAAGCCCAAGAGAAGGTATAAAAACCCCTCACTGTCAATTCCATGTGGTCAGCTGCACCAGAATCATAAACATGAGGTTCTGCTTCATCATTTAAAACCATCTTTCCAATCAGCCTCCAGCCTCCATTTTCTCCCCAGTGCCTTTCTCCTGGCTGGAACAGACCTGGATATTTCTTCCAACAACATAACGATGGGAATGCTGTCATGATCATAAATGCAAAGATGGACCGTGAGTCATTTTTTTTCAGTAAACAAGTAAGGAAATCTAAATAAAGCTAATTTCTGTCTCTTGTACAGGTAGTCCTCAATTTATAACAGTTCACTTAGTGACAGTTCAAAGTTACAACCGCACTGAAAGTTACAACAGCACTGTGCCCTGCT